ATCAAATCTGAAATTCGTGTCATGAAAGTGTGATAATTGAAGTATTGAAGGGGCAAATATAAAAATTAAAAAGAAAAAAAAATCATAACAAAATAGAAAAATGGTTTATTATTAATAAAAAATTAATAAAAAAGAAAAAAGCAAAGAGAAAAAAACCTACAAGAAGAAAAAAAACTAATGAAGAAAAAGAAAAAAATCTGAATAAACTAGGTTAACCCGTCAAACCTGGAATCCATGTCATGAAAATCTGATAATTAAATAGAAAAAATTTAATATTAAGAAGCTAAATTAAAAAAAAAAGACAAAAAACAAGTAAAGGCATCAACTTTTTCACTGTGAACTATATTGTGTAATCCACACTAAAAGGCCTAAAAAGGAAAGGAGAGAAAAAAAATAAAAGCACACGCTACGGGTTAATTTTTTTTCTTATATAAAAATATCAAAAAAGACTAAGATCTAAGAGTATTGGGTCTTTTTGCAAATATATGTCCACGAGCCTTTGGTTTAGCTGCAACACTTGACCCAAGAGTAATATTTATAATATCAATAATAATATTAAACTTACATAACTCAAGTTTAAGTGAGTTTAACTGCAAGATAGTGTCATGAAAGTGTGATAATTAAATAGATTAATTAAAAAAAACAAAGAAAAAAAACCAACAGGAAGAAAAAAATAATGAAGAAAAAAATTTGAATTAACTGAGTTAACCCTTTAAACCAGATTAACCCATCAAACCTGAGATTTGCGTCATGAAAGTTTGATAACTAAATAGAAAAAAAATTGACGGGTCAACCTGTCAAGCTCGGAATACATGTCATGAAAGTCTCATAATTAAATAAAAAAAAATTAACATTAAAAAACTAAACTAAATAAAAAAAATTTAATTAAAAAGAAAAAAAGCAAAAAACAAATCCTGGGTTAACTCGTCAAATTTTAAAAAAAAGCAAAAAAAAAAAATCCAAGTTAACTCGTCAAACCTAGGATATGTGTTATGAAAGTCTGATAACTAAAAAAAAATTAACATTAACAAACTAAAAAAAAATCATTAAAAGAAAAAAAACACAAAAAAAACCCATAAAGACATAAAAAGCAAAATAAATAAATAAATAAAATAGAAAAAAATTAAAAACAAAAAAAACAGCTTAGCGTTTCACTGTGGACTGCATAGTGAAACATTAAACAATTTTAGTATATGTCATTAATTAAAAAGAAAAAAATTTGGGTTAACTCGTGAAATCAGGTTAACCCGTCAAACCCAGGATCCGTGTTATGAAAATTTGATAACTAAATAAAAAAATTAATATTAACAAACTAAATTAAACAAAAAAAATTCATTAAAAGAAAAATACACAAAGAAAAAAGCAAAAAAAAAAAAACCCATAATGGCATAGAGAATGAAAAAAAAACAAAAAAAAAAACAAAAAAAAAAGGAAAAAGAAAAGAAGAAGACTGCTCAACATTTCACTGTGGACTTGCATAGTGAAACACTGAGCAATTTTAGTTTATTGTTAACTCTTTTGATTATTACTTATTTTATTTGAAATAATTTATGAAATGTTGATTATTATTATTTTAATTTTTTCATCTTTTATTTTTTTTATTTTGTTTAATTTGATCTCTATTATTTTGATTATTATTTATTTTATTTGAGATAATTTATGAAATTATATATTTTTTCAATTTCAT